GAATGTTTCAATTTCCCACCTTGATGAGCACTGAATGACCTAACAGTTTTCAAGGTGTGGCTTCTTACTGCCTGGGGAAATCCTTTGTTGAGAGATGTTTAGCTGTCCCTGAGTGTTTCTTGTCTGGAGTTCCCTTCTTTTTGAAAGATGTTCTTTATTTACTGTTTTGATTTTAGAGTTGAAACATTCACACCTAGCTTCAACAGACATGGGTTTTTTCTCCCACCCTGAACTTTCCACAGATACATAAATCCCATATTTCTAGTTGCCAACAGACCTCACGACACTGCTGTAAGTTTTTTTCGGGCTGTATGGCCATGTTCCAGAAGCATTCTCTCCTGACGTTTCACCTGCATCTGTGGCAGGCATCCTCTGTTGGAAACTAAGAAAATGGGGTTTATATCTCTATGGAATGTCTAGGGTGGGAGGAAGAACTCTTGCCTCTTTGAGGTAGGTGTGAATGTTTCAATTGGCCACCTTGATTAGCATTGAATGGCCTGGCAGTTTTCAAGGTGTGACGTCTTACTGCCTGGGGAAATCCTTTGTTGAGATGTGATTAGCTGTCCCTGATTGTTTCTTGTCTGGAGTCCTCCTGTTTCTGAATGTTGCTCTTTACGTACTGTTATGATTTTAGAGCTGAAACATTCACACTTTTTTTCGAGTCAGGAGCGACTTGAACCCCCAGCGGTGCAATAGGTTGAACCCTTGTGCAGGCAGGACTAAAGACCGACAGGTTGCAGGTTCAAATCCAGGGAGAGCACGGGTGAGCTTCCTTTTCAGCTCCAGCATTTAATAGCCTAGGAGTTTTCACAGTGTGGCTTCTTACTGCCTGGAGGAATCCTTTGTTGAGAGGTGCTTAGCTGTCCCTGATTGTTTCTTGTCTGGAGTTCCCCTGTTTCTGAAAGTTGCCCTTTATTTAGTGTTATGATTTTAGAATTGAAACATTCACACCTATTTCCAACAGACAAGAGTTCTTTCTCCCACCCTGGATCTTCCACAGGTACACAAACCCTACTTGCCTAGTTTCTAACAGACCTCACAACCTCTGAGGATGCCTGCCATAGATGAAGGCGAAACGTCAGGAGAGAATGCTTCTGGAACATGGCCAGACAGCTCAAAACACCTACAACAACCCAGTGATTCTGGGCATGAAAGCCGTCGACAACACAGGATGGACATTTTTATTTGTCTGGTAGAAGTTTGTGTGAAGGTTTCAATTGGCCACCTTGATAAGCTTTTAATGGCCTAGAAGTTTTCACAGTCTGGCTTCTTACTGCCTGGGGGAATCCTTTGTTGAGAGGTGATTAGCTGTCCCTGTTTGTTTATTGTCTGGAGTTTCCCTCATTTTGAAAGTTGTTCTTTATTTACTGTTATGATGTTAGAGCTGAAACACTGACATCTTTTTTTGTGTGACAGAAGCAACTTGAACATGGGTGACCTCCCTCTGTCAGCATTTAATAGCCTAGGCGTTTTCACAGTGCAGCTTCTTACTGCCTGGGGGAATCCTTTGTTGAGAGGTGACTAGCTGTCCCTGATTGTTTCTTGTCTGGAGTTCCCCTCATTCTGAAAGTTGTTATTTGTTTACTGTTATGATTTTAGAGCTGAAACATTGACACCTTTTTGTGTGTGTCAGGAGCGAGTTGAGGACGGGTGAGCTCCCTCTGTCAGCTCCAGCATTTAATAGCCTAGGAGTTTTCACAGCATCACTTCTAACTGTCTGGGGGAATCCTTTGTTGAGAGGTGATTAGCTGTCCCTTGCCTTGCCTTGCCTTTCTTGTCTGGAGTTCCCCTGTTTCTGAAAGTTGTCCTTTATTTACTGTTATGATTTTAGAGTTGAAACATTCACACCTATTTCCAACAGTCAAGAGCCCTTTCTCCCACCCTGAACCTTCCACAGATATATTAACCTCACTTGCCTAGTTTCCAACAGACCTCACAACCCCTTAGAATGCCTACCATAAATGCAGGCCAAACGTCAGGAGGGAATGCTTCTGGAACATGGCCATACAGCTTGAAACACCTACAACAACCCAGTTATTCTGGGCATGAAAGCCGTGGACAACAGGATGGACATTTTTAATTGTCTGGCAGAGGTAGGTGTGAAGGTTTCAATTAGCCACCTTGATTAGCACTGAATGGCCTAGGAGTTTTCACAGTGTGGCTTCTTACTGCTGGGGGAATCTTTTGTTGTTGTTTTTTAAATTGTTTTTATTGAGAATAAGATTATCTCCAATATACTGGAGTGTGAGCAGAATTTTAAAAGCAAGATACATTGACAATGAAAGGCGGAATACTTTGTTGAGAGGTGATTAGCTGTCACTGATTGTTTCTTGTCTGGAGTTCCCCTGTTACTGAAAGTTGTCCTTTATTTACAGTTATGATTTTAGAGTTGAAACATTCACACCTGTTTCCAACAGACAAGAGTCCTTTCTCCCACCCTGGACCTTTCACAGATATATATACCCCATATACAGACCTCACAACCCCTGAGGATGCCTGCCATAGATGAAGGCGAAACCTCAGGGGAGAATGCTTCTGGAACATGGCGAGACAGCCCGAAAAACTTACAGCAACCCAGTGATTCTGGGCATAAAAGCCGTCGACAACACAGGATGGACATTTTTATTTGTCTGGTAGAAGTATGTGTGAAGGTTTCAATTGGCCACCTTGATAAGCATTTAATGGCCTAGAAGTTTTCACAGTGTGGCTTCTTACTGCCTGGGGGAATCCTTTATTGAGAGGTGATTAGATGTCCCTGATTGCTTCTTGTCTGGAGTTCCCCTGTTTCTGAAAGTTGTCCTTTATTTACTGTTATGATTTATTTACTGTTATGATTTCCAACAGACAAGAGTTCTTTCTCCCACCCCGGACTTTCTACAGATATATAAACCCCATATTCCTAGTTTCCAACATACCTCACAACCCCTGAGGATGCCTGCCATAGAAGCAAGCGAAACGTCAGGAGAGAATGCTTCTGGAACATGGCCAGACAGCCCGAAAAACTTACAGCAACCCAGTGATTCCAGCCATGAAAGCCTTCGAAAACACAAAATGGACAATTTTAATTGACTGTTAGAGGTAGGTGTTGATATTTCGATTGGCCGCCTTGATTAGCATTTAATGGCCTAGGAGTTTTCACAGTGTGACTTCTTACTGCCTGGAAGAATCCTTTGTTGAGAGGTGATTGTTTCTTGTCTGGTGTTCCCCTCATTCTGAAAGTTGTTATTTGTTTACTGTTATGATTTTAGAGCTGAAACATTGACACCTTTTTGTGTGTGTCAAGAGTGAGTTGAACACGGGTGAGCTCCTTCTGTCAGCTCCAGCATTTAATAGCCTAGGTGTTTTCACGGTTCACTTCTTACTGCCTGGGGGCATCCTTTGTTGAGAGGTGATTAGCTGTCCCTTGCCTTGCCTTGCCTTTCTTGTCTGGAGTTCCCCTGTTTCTGAAAGTTGCCCTTTATTTACTGTTATGATTTTAGAGTTGAAACATTCACACCTATTTCCAACAGACAAGAGTTCTTTCTCCCACCCTGAACCTTCCACAGATATATTAATCTCACTTGCCTAGTTTGGTAGTTATGGTAGAATGAAAGCCATCGACAACACAGGATGGACATTTTTATTTGTCTGGTAGAAATATGTGTGAAGGTTTCAATTGGCCACCATGATAAGCATTTAATGGCCTAGAAGTTTTCACAGTGTGGCTTCTTACTGCCTGGGGGAATCCTTTGTTGAGAGGTGATTAGCTGTCCCTGGTTGTTTTTTGTCTGGAGTTCCCCTGTTTCTGAAAGTTGTCCTTTATTTACACTTATGATTTTAGAGTTGAAACATTCATACCTGTTTCCAACAGACAAGAGTCCTTTCTCCCTCCCTGGACCTTTCACAGATATATATACTAGGGCTGGGCGGTTTTGTTTCGTTAATTCGTAATTCGTTAAAAATTCGGTTTTTTTATAACGAAGCGATAAGGAACCATTCTGGAGCAACTTAAAAACGAAACGAATTTAAAAATTCGTTTCGTTATTGTTTTGGATTCATTATGTATTCGTTTCGTTATCGTTTTGAAGTCATTTTGTTATTATTTCCGCATGTCTGGGGCAAGTTTTATAGTTGTTTTTTGTTTAATTAGTGAAAAAAAATTATAATATCACACCAACAGTCAACAACAGAGGGAGAGGGAAGCTTCAGAAGTTCCCCCTGTCCCATTTGGAGGTTTTTTAGCGTATTTTGCGGTCGTGTCCCCCATTAACGAATCGTTTCGTTATTGTTTCGTAATTGCTTCGTAATTTTTTAAACATTTACGAAATTTCATAAATATCGAGCTTTTTAAAAGAAAAAATTCGGAATTCTTTTTAAAATCGAAACGCAAAACCCCCCAAAAAACGAATCGATTTTAGAAACAAATTTTTCCGTTGTTACCCAGGCCTAATATATACCCCATATAAAGACCTCACAACCCCTGAGGATGCCTCCCATAGATGCAGGCGAAACGTCAGGAGAGAATGCTTCTGGAACATGGCCAAAAACTTACAGCAATCCAGTGATTCCGGCTAGGAAAGCCTTCGACAATACACTGTAAGAGCTGTTCAACAGTGGAACTCATTGCCTCAAAGTGTGATTGAAGATCCTTCTTTGGAGGCGTTTAAACAGAGGCTGGATGGGCATCTGTTGTGGGTTCTTTGTGCTAGGAAAGTCTCCGACAATACAATCCGAAGCCACTTCGAATCGTTTGGCCGAAGGAAGGAGATCTGGGCTAAAGTGGGGAGGGGGATATTTCCTTCCCCCCTTTCCTGTGTGCCTTTGTAAACATGTCCTTTGTTAGTACGGTGGGGAGAAAGATGGTGGCCCATTTCTCTCTCTCTCTCTCTTTCTCCCCTCCCTGACTCTCCTCCTCCTCCTCCTCCTCCTCCCTCCTCCTTCTCCACCCCTTTCCCTTTCCTTGTTGGCGATCCGGATTGGAAGCTGTGGCTTGGGAGGGGGAAGGGGAAGGGGAGGGGTCTCTCTCTCTCTCTTTCGGGGGAGGGGGCGGGCAGGCTGGCTTTGCAGTCCCAGACTCAAAGGCAAGTGAAGGTGGAAAGAAGGCGCGCGAGGGATCCGGGCCGAAGCGACAACCCCAGCAGAGACCAGAGACAGTGGGTACAACAACCCCCCCCCCACCCAAAAAAGGGGGCTTTAGCGGGGCTGGAGTGGGGAGGGTCTTTGGAGGTACCAAGAGGAAGAAAGGGGGGCTTCCACTTGGCTCTTTCCCTTGCCTCCCCCCTTTCCCCTGCACCCCCAAAAGGGAGGGGGGCGATTTGGAGAGCTCCCGAGCTCTTGAGCCAGATGTTGCCAGAAGGGATTAAATGCTGTTTATTGCAAAGCAGAGCCAGCCTTTCCCCCTTTTCCCCTTGTTTTTCCCAACCTCCCCCAATTCGGATGCTTTTCAGACCCCCTCCTCACCCAAAAAAAGAGCCTTCCTATCTATCCCCCCTCCTTAAACCGGATTATGGGCGCAAACAACACACCCACAGCTCTTCCATGCGCTTTTCTCCATGCAAAGGAAGGTTGGGTTGGGTTGGATTGGATTCCTTGCCTGGATGACAGAATCAAGGGAATTGGGTGTCAAATTGTTTTGGAGGGGGGTGGGTTAATATCCCTGACGGGAGACACACCCCTCCTTTCTGCCTTTTCCCATAGAAAAAGCAGATTGGAGAAGGAAAATCCCTTCCAATGCCAAGGATCTGGCAGGTGGAGATAGGGAGAGATTGAGAAGAGGGGGGGGGGATGTGTGTTGATTCAGGAGTAAGGGATGTTTGCTTGCGAGGAAAGGGATTAAGTTGTCTATGGTGGTGGGGAAGGGGGGGGGGGTCAAGGCTCTGCCAAGCTGGGATTCCCTTGGATTGGTCCACTGGGCAAGGGAGACCTGGAGTGGGTGGGTGTGCCAAAGGCTTTGGATGTTGATGTCCCATTTTGAAGAGACCTGTCAATGCAAGATGCTAGAACCCAAGGGGATGGGGTTGGATAGTAAGCCATGGCTCATGCAGGATGTTGGAATGAGGCTGTGAGCGTCTTTTGGTGGGAAACAAGGCCCCATAGGAGCCCCCGTTGGTGCAGTGAGGTGCTGAACTTGCTGATCGAAAGATTGCAGGTTCGAATCCGGGGAATGGGGTGAGCTCCCGCTGTTAGCTCCAGCTTCTGCCAACCTAGCAATTCGAAAACATGCAAATGTGAATAGATCATTAGGTACCACTCCGACAAGAAGGTAACATCAATCCATGCAGTCATGCTGGCCACATGACCTTGGAGGTGTCTATGGATATCGCTAGCTCTTCAGCTTAGAAATAGAAATGAGTTTGGATAGAAAGCCTTGGGCCCAGCAGGATGTTGGGGTGAGACGGTGGGCATCTTTTTGGTGAGGAACAAGGCCCCATAGGAGCCCCCGGTGGCACAGTTTTTTAAACCACTGAGCTGCTGAACTTGCTGACTGAAAGGTTGCAGGTTTGAATCCAGGGAGAGAGTGAGCTCCCACTGTTAGCCCCAGCTTCTGCCAACCTAGCAGTTCGAAAACATGCAAATGTGAGTTGATCAATAGGTACCCTTCTGGCGAGAAGGTAACATCGCTCCATGCAGTCATGCTGGCCACCTGACCTTGGAGGTGTCTATGGACAATGCCGGTTAGAAATTGAGATGAGCACCAACCCCCAGAGTGGGACACAATTGGACTTAATGTCAGAGGAAAACCTTTACCTTAAGGCCCCAAGGCATTCACAGGGCTGTGTGGTAGGGATCACACTGCAGACAGTGGGAAGAGATGTCAGGATCCCAGTGAGATGGGCTGTCAGGATCCCGAAGTCTCTCTCTTAGAGCTGTGAATAACAGGAGTGTAGGAGTGGGAGAAAAACTGCGAATCGAGAACTGGTGGATCCGGATACCTGGTAGCCTTTGGGGCAGAGAAGACATAGGATGAAGCTGGAATGGTGGGGGTATTCTGGGAAAGGAGGAAACTGAGGAAGGTGGTGAGAATTGCACTCAGGATGTCCCATATCCTACACCGGAGGCAGTGGAAGTGTGACCCATGTGGCTCAATAAGGTGAGAGTCCCAGTAGAAGAGCGAGCAGAGGCCAAAGCTCAAGTCTCATGAATTTTTTTCCCTGGTTCTGGGAAGGGCGCATTTTAGGATATTACCCGGTCAGGGCTGGTCATGGACAAAAGAGATAGCTGATCATCTCTTGGGATTTTTTTCCATGTCAAAGCAACTTGAGAAACTGCAAGTCGCTATTGGTGTGAGAGAATTGGCTTTCTGCAAGGACGTTGCCCAGGGGATGCACGGATGTTTTTACCATCCTTGTGGGAGGGTACTCTCATGTCCCCACATGGGGAGCTGGAGCTGACAGATGGAGCTCAACCTGTTCTCTCCAGATTCAATCCTGCCAGCACAAAGGTTTAACTCGTGCCACCAGGTGCACCTCTTGGAATGAGAAGTCTCTGTTTGTCTCATTTCATATGACCTCAGCCACAGGTGTGGAGGTATGTGTGTGCACTAGTTTCTGTCCAAGTCCCCTTGTTTGTGTTTATACCTGCGTGTGTGCCTCAGGGAAGCCTGGCCTCAGAGTCACTCACTGCACTGGCATCTCCAGGCACCTGGAGAATTCATTACCAGGTTTCACAAGATAGCAACCCCACATTGTCCTACTTCCTTAGCCTGGGTCAGATTGACGACATCAAGGTTCCTCCCCACAGAATGAGAAAGAGAGGGAGAGAATGTGGACCTGGCTTCATCTACTTCACACTAAATCCCTTGAGGGTAATAGGCAGGATGGGCAAAACCAAAGAGCCCATCTTTAAAACTAAAAGGTCCAGAAAACACGTGGAGTGGTTGTAGTTAATATATACGCAAACACACCACGTGTTGCATTGTAGTAGTGTTGCGCTAGTCATTTGCTTTTTAAACCTAAATGCATTCATACTGTCTCTGTGTAGCATTTCAGGCTATAAGAGCAGCTTTTTTTCGTGTCAGGAGCAACTTGAGAAACTGCAAGTCGCTTGTAGTGTGAGAGAATTAGCCGTCTGCAAGGACATTGCTCAGGGGACGCCTGGATGTTTTATAATCCTATGGGAGGCTTTTCTCATGTCCCCACATGAGAAGCTGGAGCTGACAGATGGGAGCTCACCCCACTCCCCAGGTTCAAACCGCTGACCTTTCGGTCAGCAGTCCTGCCGGCACAAGGGTTTAACCCATTTTGCCACAGCTAAATAAGACACAGCCTACTGTGGACTCACTCAAAAACTAGCTTAGAAGGATCTGACAAATTCACCGGCTAGCAGGTGTTACACAAGTTATTGGTATGAATTGGGGAGATAGAAAGAGGAAAGAGGGGCATATGGACCATCCTTTGCTGCCCAATCTTTCACCCATAGCTTCTAAAGTTCTGTACTTGCCGTGCTAGTCGTGCCAACTTGGCTCAGTGTGTTGAAAGTGTTTTCCTGGCAGAGCTCCGCGTGTAGCAGGCGGGCATTCAACAGGTGACACTTCCTAGCCAAGTACTTTGCTGCCTGGCAAATTGCATTTGTTGGATTGTGGCGTTGCCGTTGGGTTGGGTGGGTGACGCTACTGGAGCCCTGCTATGATGATATTGGTGATAGGGAAGGAAAAGGAAAAGGCGATATCTACAGAAAGAGAATTGGAAAGAATTCCTTAGCAATAATAATGATAATAATAATAATAATTGAGAAATATTATTATTATTAATATGATTGTTAATAATAATAATGTGATACAAAATCCAGCATATAGATCTTGTTTGCTGTGACATACTGTGTTTTTGTGTTAGTAAAATAATAATAATAATAATAATAATAATAATAATAATAATAATAACCCTCAGAATTCCAATGCTGAGAGTCTCTAAAATAATGTCTTGTGTTATCTGCTATTTCTCTCTTTCTCTGAACAAGGGACTTGGGGACCATTTTGTTTGCCAGGTACAGATGTGTCCTTTTGCCCTGCCTCTGTAAACCTCAATTTTCCTTTTGCACTATCATTTATTTCCTGGGGGTGACAGGAACCTGGTCCCCCCCTTGGCTTCCCAGCTTGGTGCCTGCAGAGTGGGTTTATTATGTGTGCAAGCCTTCTTTTGGTGGTGGGCTGAGGAATTATTTTCTGAATGCCTGCTCTTTGCCAGCCCCATCAAGGGCCCCAGAATGACAAGGAGCACCCAGGGAACTGGACCGCTGCCCATGTCAGGGTGATCAAAACAGCTATTTATGGCCCTGGAGGGGGATCCTTGGATGGAGCCCAGAGTGGAAACCAGCCACAGCACCCAGGAGAGAAAAAGAGAGCCTAGGAAAGTAGGGAAGCTCTTATGGATCCTCCGGGATCCACCCTTCCGGCCAGTAATGTCTGAATATCAACAAGTGCTGGCAGAGGAAATACAATTTCCTTATTTATATTACGTTTCTATCCTGTTTTTTCCCTGGAGTGCTGGAAGTGGCATGCATGGCTGTCTTAATTCCCATACAACAACGCTCTAAATGGTGTGAGAGCTCCTTCACACCACACTATCCAGTGGATCTCAATCTGTGGGTCCCCAGATGTTTTGGCCTTCCACTCCCAGAAATCCTAACAGCTGGTAAACTGGTTGGCATTTCTGGGAGTTGTAAACCAAAACACCTGGGGATCCACAGGTTGAGAATCACTGTAGACAGTTTGATTCAACTTTCGCTTCCTTGGTTGCATTCTTCTGAATCCTAGGACTTATAATTTGGTGACGTATTCGACCCCTCTGATGGAGAATTTGAAATACCAAATAACAGATCATAAATGTCTATCAGATGGAGTCATGACAGTTAGTGGCAACTAGGGCTATGTAGTGCAGTGGCTCCCCAACTTTGGTCTTCCAGGTGGGCTTCAGCTTCCTGAATTCCTAGCTGTTGGGATATTGACAAACTGGAAGGTGTCCAGAGGAGGGTGACTAAAATGATCAAAGGTCTGGAGACCATGCCTTATGGTCTCCAGAACTTAAAGATCTGGGTATGTTTAGCCTACAGAAGAGAAGGTTGAGAGCAGATAGCCATGGTTAAATATTTGAAAGGATGTCGTAAGGAAGAGGGAGCAGGCTTTTTTTCTGCTGCCCTGAAGACTAGGACTCGGAGC